ACGTTATGGGTGGCCGTGGCTAGATCAAGATGTAGATTGTTTATTATTTTTTGAATTGTTGCAGAACACTTTAATTAAAAATGTAGGAAAAAGATTAATTCTAAGTAAACACACACAATCTCTGTCAGGGCTACCAGTAGAGAGAGCCTTTAGGGTTTTCTAAGTGATGTTTGTAACTTCCCCTTTGAATATAGAAAGTCCCCACTTTTATGCTTTGGAAAGTGCATAAGTGGGTCTTCATATCCCCTACAAATAGCAGAAAAGATGAAGAAGAAATATAATAATCCACTTGTCCCTGTTCTTGAAAAAGGAAAGTTATTTAAAAAGTCACTAAACCACAGCAAGTCCCATAGACTTGTTCTATTATGGGCTTTGCTCTATTTGGTGATAGGCATGTCCCTGCTTCTCAAACTGGCACGTGTCTCCCTTGGGGGACGTGATCTTGTGCTAAGGACCCACATGGCATGTTTGGGATGCCATTTTTGGGAAGAGGGAAGTACCTTTTTAAAAATACATATATACAACATAATAGGTTTATATTTAATATAGTATTTCTCTCCGTGGGGGTGTTACTCAGTTAATAGGGCTTTTTAAAACATTAAACCTCTTCTCCATTTCAGTGTCAACACAAAGTATTTTTTTATATTAAAGTATTTTAAATCTTATTGTTATTATTTTTAAATCATATGAGCGTTTATTCCGATAATTCCAGCATTATGGGAGAGCAGCAGGTCATCCACAAAAACCTGCTCTTACATTAAATCTTTTCTCCATTTCAATATTAGGTACATTGAACATATTTTTTAAAACCTTCCCTCTCTTCAAATAAATTAAAGTTTTGATGGGATGTATTTCATATCTAAGTATAGTATTAACTTTGGGGATAACAAAACAAAAATCTAATAGAAATATGGAGAAAAGATTCCTCACCGATGTAGAAGGCAAGTGACTACAATTGAACAGTGGTGACCTCCTAGGGTTCTGGGCAGGAGCTTCCTTCTTCCAATTTCATGTGCTTTGTGAATTTTGATGCTATGAAATATTATTTATGCAAATTTCTTTGACCCTCTTTCTAACTAGCAGATATAAATTATATTCTACATATTCAGTGCATTATCTGTTGTGAAAAAAAATTCATTTAATACATATCAGTTTATTCCCATTTATAGGGAAACAACTACGAATGTTCAGTACCCTAGTTACTGTTTCTTGGGAACTTTCAGACACCAAAAGCTCAGTTTTTAACCTCAGTAGCACAAATGCTTTCAGGGCAAGGTTTAATTCAGGAGGCCCTTCAGTGTCACACCTGTCCATTTCCTTTTGTGCATGTGCCCCCAAACAGGCACAAATGCCTGTAAGGCTGACAACCAGACCTAATGAGCGATTGCATCTCCAGCTTCTACTTCAACAACAGACAGCACCAAACGCAGTGAACTGAGGACAGAACAATAGTATTGAAACTGAAGTCATGATGTTGGTACCTTGAGGTGGCTAGATCTTGAGCACTGAAGGTTTCAAATAAATGATCCGTGTATAATTCTATCTGACACTTAAAACACTTCCTTCTTGGAGCTCTGAATGCTTAGGCTAAGAGGTTCCACGTGACGACGTGCCTTCCAGGAAGCAGCCATTATAGAATGGCCAGGAGGGAAATATCTTTAAACCAGGGTTGCTGTCTTGGCACTGTTGATGTTTTGGGCCAGATAATTCTTTATTATAGGCTCTTTCCTGTGCACTGTAGGATCTTTAGCAACACCCCTGGCCACTACCTGTTAGATACAAATCATTCTCCCCCAGGTGTGATGACCAAAAAAATGTCTCGCTATTGCCAAATGTCCCTGGAGGGAGAAATCACCCTTGGTTGAGAGCCACTGCTTTAAACAAACATGATATGAACAAGAATGCAAAATGTGCATGAACATTTAAACCAAAAGAGCCACCTCAGGAAAAAAAAAAAAAAAAGATGTGTGCACCCAGCTCCTCTATTGCATTGGGGCAGAACTTAATGTTTTGGCAACTGTTTTAACTCTTGAATTCTGTATAAATCTTTCTCTTTTTTGTTTATATTTCAAAATTTCCTGGTTCACCCAAAGTATCTGTTGAATGAAAAGTGCCCTTACCAGAATTCCTTGAACAGGAGGTTTCCTACTTGTATTTCTAAACGTCTTATAGGTGCGTCTCCACATTTGCTGGACAGCTTGGCCAGGTTTATTCATTCTCAGCGGGAAATTAATTGGCGCTAAGACCTGACATCATTCTAATCAGAGTGCCAGTGAATGTGCTGTCTGTCCCTTCTCACCCCCCTAGAAGCCTGCTTGTGCTACTTTCCCCCCCATTAAAATGTAGGCATACCTAAGCATGTTTTATTTCACACGTGCCAGCCCTCGAAGGGAGGGATCCTTTGTGTCTTTTATTTTTGAAGCCATTGGGTGGATCTTTATTGTCCAAATTATACTCCTGTTGTTTGAAATTGAGGTTTTTATTTTCTTCTTCACCAAAACTTGGCTGCATAGGATTCTTTCAGTAATTTCCTGCTGTTGACTTTCGGCTAGGTTTTCTCTTAGCCTGCAGCATTGCACTTTTCCTTGTTAAGTATCAGCTTCTCTGAGGTTCTTAGAGCACATCAGGTCCATCTTGGGCCTAGTAGCGTTGATCTCCTACCTCCTCCCCCCGTCCCCTACTCTCTCACTATTTTACCTCCCCTCCATTTTGGGGGGAGGCAGTTGGATTTCTTCTTTATGTTTATGTTGTTATTTAATAGATACTGAATGTTTTGGTTCTATTTTTTTGTGTGGTATTCTAGCCCATTTAAAGTTCGTCTTGCCACTTATCTGGAATTCTGCGTGGTCACTCGATCCTAGATTGGTTTTATCCCCCACCTTTTTTATGCATTTAATTGGGCACCTATAGGGAATTTAGAATTTTAATATCCAGGCAGTCATAATAAATTGGCTATAACTGCACTGTGTAGTATGATTGCCATTAGCCAGAAGTGGCTATTTAAATCAAAACTAAAATGAGATACAATTAAAAATTCAGTTTTTCTTTTACACTAGTCACATCTCTTATGGAAAGTGACAAGGCAGCTGTAGAACATTTCCATCATCAAGGCAGCTGTAGAACATTTCCATCATCAAGGCAGCTGTAGAACATTTCCATCATCAAGGCAGCTGTAGAACATTTCCATCATCAAGGCAGCTGTAGAACATTTCCATCATCAAGGCAGCTGTAGAACATTTCCATCATCAAGGCAGCTGTAGAACATTTCCATCATCAAGGCAGCTGTAGAACATTTCCATCATCAAGGCAGCTGTAGAACATTTCTGTTTCTGTGCTTGTGGTGATTTGGCTGCTCTCTCTTTTCTAGGTGCTAAGAGATGGTGCTTGTGGGGTTCATCTCTGCCTGAGAATCAGGTGCTCTAGGCGCAGAAAAGCCAACTCCGATCCTGGGATCGCTGCTTGAACAAGCCTTCTCTTCCAGCCAGTGCAGCCCAACAACCAAACCAGCCACTTTCTCTTAATGATGGGTATTGGTAAAAACACTACATCCAAATCCATGGAGGCTGGGAGTTCAACGGAAGGCAAATATGAAGACGAAGCGAAGCACCCCACTTTCTTCACCCTCCCGGTAACAGCATTCCCCGTCTTCCTTTCTTCTTGGATCACTCTAAAGTAGTTTCTGTATTGAATCAACATAGGATTAGCTTTAATACTCATGTTTTCAGTGAAGGCTAAGGCACTTGAAAACCAAATGCTTTTCACGTGAGCCAGTCTCCAGGAGCCCTGTTGGCTGCCTATGGTTTTGGCCCGGTTCTCTGCCTAGAGCTCACCTGATGAGATTAACTCCAGGAAGGAAGCATGTGTTTCGGTCAATGTTGTAAAGCAGGCCCAGTGCTTACTCAACACTGGAGGATGTCGAAGGCTTAAGTTCATCTCCAAAATTGTGTTCTTTTGAAATCGCCTGTAACCCAACGTCAGACTTGTATTGTAATGTGGGAGATTGAATGAATGACTTAATGAACCCAAATGGCCATGCTTTGCATTATGGCAGCAGCGTCCAAGATAGAGGTAGTTTTACTAGACAGGTGATATCACTCAGTAAAGACTAATGACACACATCATTATATTCAGAGCTAGTATTTTCCAGATTAGGATTATGACTTGATGTGTAGAAAGTTACCTAAAGTGTTGGTTTAAAAAAGAAAACCACTTGCCCTGGCTGGTTTGGCTCAGTGGATAGAGTGTTGGCCTGCAGACTGAGGGGTCCGGGGTTTGATTCCGGTCAAGGGCACATGCCAGGGTTGTGGGCTCAATCCCCAGGGGGGGCGTGCAGGAGGCAGCTGATCAAAGATTCTCTCATCATTGATGTTTCCATCTCTCCCTCTCCCTTCCTCTCTAAAATCAATAAAACTATATTAAAAAAAGAAAAAAGAAAACCACTCTTGAAAGGAAAAGATGGTGGAGTAGATAAACATAGTACTTACTTCCTCACATAACCACATCAGAATTTACAACTAAATTACAGAAAAACCATCATTCAGATGGTTGAATGGAAGCCTTACAACTAAGAATTGAAGAAGAAGCCACAATGAGACTGGTAGGAGGGGCGGAGGGGCGGAGGGGCAGAACAGGCTGGTTTGACACCTCTGTGTGGTGGTTTTAATTGGGAAGGATATCTTGGCTGCAGAGGCCCCTGTGAGGAGCAAAGGATCCAAGGCAAACTCCCCCCCCCTGCGCCCACACCAGACCCCTCAGTTTAGGGTTCCAGTGCTGGGAAGAGAAGTCCCCATAACTTAACCAGTGGGAATTGTAGCTGAGTGACACGAAGAGATGCTACTAGTAAAATTCCCAGGCAGTTCCTCTTAAAGGGCCCATACGTGGACTTATTCAGATTCATTCCCTCTGGGGCAGCAGCTTGAAAGGGTCCAGGTACGTACAGGGAGGAACTAAATTGTCTGGCATCAGTACAGGAACTGGGGGGCAGTTTTCTCCCAGACAAAATTGCTGGGAGAAGTCATTATTCCTTTGCTGAGACCTCCCCACCATAGAGCCAACAGGAGCCATATGAGTCTCCATTAACTTGGCCCACACTGTTCGCCCTGCCATTGGGATTCCCTGAGACCCTGCCCCACCCAGTTTACAGTTCCACCTAATCTGTTTGCAGTAGCTTTTCCATATGAAGGGCCAGTCCTAGCTCAGGCTTCAGACTTTCCTGAAATCTCTCAAACAAGCAGCAGCTAGCCTCAGTGTGCCCCATACCTCTTAATAAGTGGCCCCAGGCTTGGCACTAGCAGCAGACTGCCAAGGTTCACAGCTTGGCCTCTCCTGGGCGCCTCCAAGCCCAACACAAGTAGCAGCCATCTGCAGATCACTCTGTAGCTTATGCTGAGTAGCCCAAGGCAAGGCACAGGCAGTAGCTGACGTTTACCTCATGGAGTCCCCAGAGCTAGGACACCTGGTGGTCAGCTTTAGACCACGCCAGATTACAGCCCTACCACATCCGAGAGCGATACTCTCAAGGGGCGGACTCTGAGCACCAAAGCCCCACTGAAGCAAGTCCTCCATCAGGGTGTCTCCTGCACAGCAGCCCTTTTGCTGTAGTCGCAGCTGGTCCTCACAGCCTATTGGCCTGGAGGTAAATCCCTCCCAGTGATGCCAAGAGCAATCAGGACTCAACTATAAGAGGACAGTGCACACAAACAGAGGCGCATCTAGAGTGACCAGCTCAGGTGACTGGGAGGCTGAGCCACTGGGCCTTGCACAGGCCACTCTACCAATTCCAGGGGACATACCAGCTCTACCTAATACATAGAAACAGAGGGAAGCAGCCAAAATGTGGAAACAAACATGTCCCAAGTGAAAGAACAGAAGAAATCTCCAGAAAAAGAACTAAAACAATGGTTATAAGGATGTTCAAGGAACTTAATGATAACTTCAAGGAATTTAATGAGAACTTCACAGAACTTAAAACATCAATGACATAAAAAAGGATCAGTTAGAAATGAAGCATACACTAATTGAAGTGAAGAATAACTTACAGGGAATCAGCAGTAGAGTAGATGACACAGAATCAAATCAGCAATTTGGAATATGAGGAAGCAAAAAATACCCAATTAGAACAGCAAAAAGGAAAAAGAATCCAACAATATGAAGACAGTGTAAGGAGCCTTTGGGACAACTTCAAGCATCCCAACATTCCCATCATGGGGGTACTGTAAGGAGAAAGGAGGGAGCAAGAAATTGAAAACCTATTTGAGAAAACGACAGAAAACTTCCCCACCTGGTGAAAGAAATAGACTTACAAGTCCAGGAAGTGCAGAGAGTCCCAAACAAGGCCCATGCCAAGACATAATAATTAAAATGCCAAAGGTGAAAGACAAAGAGAGAATCTTAAAAGCAGCAAGAGAAAAGCAGGTTACCTACAAGGGAGAGCCCCTATGACTGGCAGCTGACTTCTAACAGAAACTTTGCAGGCCAAATGGTAGTGGTAAGAAATATTCAAAGTGATGAAAAGCAAGGACCTACAACCAAGATTACTCTACCCAGCAAAGCTACCATTTAGAATTGAAGGTCAGATAAAGAGCTTCACAGACAAGCCCTGGACAGTCGCTCAATGGTTAGGGCATTGGCCCTCCAACTGAAGGGTTTTGGGTTCGATTCTGGTCAAGCAGCTTACTTTTTCTTTTCTTTTCTTTTTTTTTTTTTTCTGAGAGAGACTTGTTGTTCCACTTATTTATGTCTTCATTGGTTGTTTCTTATATGAGCCCTGACTCGATCAAACCTGCAACCTTGGCGTCTCCTGACGATGCTCTAACCAGGATTATTGCAGCTTGCTTTTAATTTGAATAGAGTTTTGGTAGTTTTTTTAAAAAAATATATTTTATTGATTTTTTACAGAGAGGAGGGGAGAGGGACAGACAGTTAGAAACATCGATGAGAGAGAACCATCGATCAGCTGCCTCCTGCACACTCCCCACTGGGGATGTGCCCGCAACCAAGGTACATGCCCCCTACCGGAATCGAACCCGGGACCCTTCAGTCCACAGGCCGACACTCTATCCACTGAGCCAAACCGGTCAGGGCGAGTTTTGGTAGTTTTAAATGAAATTCGAGATGTCAGTAGTACAAAATGCCTGTTTAATAATTGGGACACATACAACTTGCTATGAGCTATAAAAGGACAGAGCTGCTGCCATCATTGCCTAGAGCAGGCTTACAATGGTGATCCTCTTCACCTTTGTTCGAGGCTGGAGTCACAGTCTCTTGGTCCTGGAAGGGCCTGCAAGGGACATCTTGTCCATACTGCTTGTCTTCAGTGCTTGTGATCAGACTATACCAGACGTGACAGGAGCACAACAGAAGTGGCTGCCCAGCCTTCCTGCCTTCCCCGCCCTGTAAGGCTCACCCTCAGTACCTTCCCTGCCGCCACTGCTTTCTCTGGGCCATTTCTTGTCTGTCATCATGACGTAGTTTTAAATGAAATTCAAGATGTCAGTAGTACAAAATGCCTATTTAATAATTGGGTCACATACAACTTGCTATGAGCTATAAAAGGACAGAGCTGCTGCCATCATTGCCTAGAGCAGGCTTACAATGGTGATCCTCTTCACCTTTGTTCGAGGCTGGAGTCACAGTCTCTTGGTCCTGGAAGGGCCTGCAAGGGACATCTTGTCCATACTGCTTGTCTTCAGTGCTTGTGATCAGACTATACCAGACGTGACAGGAGCACAACAGAAGTGGCTGCCCAGCCTTCCTGCCTTCCCCGCCCTGTAAGGCTCACCCTCAGTACCTTCCCTGCCGCCACTGCTTTCTCTGGGCCATTTCTTGTCTGTCATCATGACGCCTCCATATGGTCCTCCTGCCTTCCAGCCTCATTCATTTCTGATCCTGATTGTCATTTCTGCCTGTGTCTTTTGCATTCCTGCATTAATTAAGGTCCTCTTCTAGATGTAGATACCTACTGAACCCCTTACCTTCAAATTCTCCCTTCACTCCTAACCTGTGTTCAGTTAAGCTAGGTAGGCAGGCTCCTGACCTTGAATGATTAGAGCAGCGGTTCTCAACCTGTGGGTCGAGACCCCTTTGGTGGTCGAACGACCTCAGACTATACCAGACGTGACAGGAGCACAACAGAAGTGGCTGCCCAGCCTTCCTGCCTTCCCCGCCCTGTAAGGCTCACCCTCAGTACCTTCCCTGCCGCCACTGCTTTCTCTGGGCCATTTCTTGTCTGTCATCATGACGCCTCCATATGGTCCTCCTGCCTTCCAGCCTCATTCATTTCTGATCCTGATTGTCATTTCTGCCTGTGTCTTTTGCATTCCTGGATTAGTTAAGATATCCTCTTCTGGGTGTAGATACTTACTGAACCCCTTACCTTCAAATTCTCCATTCACTCCTAACCTGTGTTCAGTTAAGCTAGGTAGGCAGGCTCCTGACCTTGAATGATTAGAGCAGCGGTTCTCAACCTGTGGGTCGCGACCCCTTTGGTGGTCGAACGACCCTTTCACAGGGCTCTCGTAAAACCATCCTGCATATCAGATATTTACATTACGATTCATAACAGTAGCAACATTACAGTTATGAAGTAGCAACGAAAATAATTTTATGGTTGGGTCACAACATGAGGAA